CGAGGGGGTTTGGGCGGGAGAGCCGGAGGAGCCCGTCCCAGAGGTGCGGGCCCTGCCTGCCCCCGCAGCCGGCGGCGTGACGTTCCTGCGCGCGTTTGTGGTTCGCGGGAGCGGTTACAGCGCTACCTGCCCCGCTTCCCGTCGTTCCGGGGGTACCTGGGTACGTGAGAGGGAGCGGGGCGGGAAGGAGCAGGGCCGGTGTTGCTGGACGTTGCGGGAGGGCAGGAGATGGGGCGGGGGAAGCAGCGATTGCCCTCAGCTGGCAGCCGAGACGCGGGGTGTGCGGGAGCCATCAGCAGTGACACCGTGTTCTCCGTAGCGGGGTGCTTGTGTTCTAGTATCTCTTTTCTTCGCGCCTTGTTGTGTTTAGCTTTTTTAATTGGTATTTTGGTTAAATAGTAATGAAATATTCCGAGTTCGTCCCCATTTAAAACGCACCTTCCAGCTGGGACGGATGTGTTGTTATTGTGCCTCAAAAAGCGGGTTTCAGGTGCCGAGATAAGGCTACATCAATAATTCAAGGAGGAGAAGCTCCACATACAAGACTTCCCGCCGCTGCCGGGCACACCTCTGCCTCGGACAGGGTGGCAGCCCCGCAGATGCGGCCGGAAAGGAAACTAAACTTCTGAGTCTCTAGTGTGTTTTCAGACGGGGAGAAACGGATACATCGTAACATTTCAATGTCATGGTTCTGGTACAGAGGGACAGCAGAAAAAACCGGCCGCTGGTGTTTAGGAAACTGACCAAAAACGCAGTGGCAGTAAATTTTGGTTTGGGAGGAGAGTTCTTGGTCCGTGTTTACTCATAAAGCTGGTTATTTTCTTGCCTTTTAGTTTTCTTTAGGTTTTAAATTTTTTTTCCTAGCAGCTATGTTTTACTACTAAAGGAGTGTTTTCTGTAAGGCCACAGCACAAAAAGGGGAAAAAACCCACCCAAAACCTGTAGGGTATATTTCAGCTGGTTAGAGCGAAAACTCCAAGACCCTTGTACTAGATGTGAATGGTGTAGAGGCTATTCCTGCATCCTTGGGAGCTCCAGTGCCTGGTTGGGTTGGGTGAGCTGAGGCAACACTTGACCTGAGTGATGGAGAGATGCAGAGGCTGGACTCCTCCAAATGGAAAAAATCCAGATAAGCTCTCTCTCTGTGTTGTTCAGACTCTATGACAGTTTCAGGACTTGCTAAAATGTACCAGAGCCCTGGTTTATATTATCATAATAGTCAGTTTGGTTGCTTCCAAACGGACCCTTTTTCAGTTTAGCTGCAGAGCTATAAATACTTTACATAAGAACTATTGGAAATTATTTCTTACCCTGCTTAGAATGGGTAAAAAGTGTGGAACAGGTAAATGAATTAATTTAAATTAGAGATTAATGTTGTTTGTCTGAACCAATATTATTTTATTTTTGATGAATTAAAACCATGTGATCTCTTTCTGTCTACTAAAAACAAATATCAAAATGCTCTGCTGTTTTCTTTCTTGAAGGAGGTTTGGGAATCCAGATTAATATTTATTTCTCCAAGTGTGTTTGAACTATGGATTACAATTGTAAATCTTGGATTATTTGTAATGCATAGTTTGAGCTTGAGCTTTATATATGTATCATGTGGCTATTGGAATTGTTTCATGGCTGTGACATTTGTCTCCTTGTCTATGTGTCGGCCCTGTGCCTGAGGAACCTGCACTCCACAGTGCTACAGGCTGCTCTGTCCGCTGGTACATTTCTGCCCTACACTGATTTCACCCTCGAAACAGGGGGAACTGCTTCTGTATCAAAACATGCAATGGATAATGCTAAGCAGCATTAAATTTACTGGGAATGGTACCTTTGCTTTCTGCAAGATCAAGATCTGGCCATCTTAGGTTCTGTGGTGTTTAATGAAAAGCCTCTTGGAGGACACAATTTCTGCTGGAAAGGATCACTTGGTGACCATTTCATAAATTGTTAATAAAAATGTAGTAGGCTGAAATTAGGCAAGCTGCTCGTAGTTTGTTGCTAAGACTGTAAAGAGCACTTAGCAATAACATACGGTGAAGTCTCAGATGCTTGCAAATTATTAATTTGGTGAGATCTACTTGGAGTCTGAGGAGATGGGCCCTGAAGTATGAGTTTTCTCAGATAATGCTTTTCACTAAACTGATGTATTTGCTGCATTGTAGGATCTTGGGGTCTTGCAAAAACACTAGCTAACTCTTCTTTTCCTTGTGGGGTAGTGATTTTTAGATGTTGGAGGCATGGAGTACAAGAGCTGAGTTGGCATTAGGATGGAAAATGTTTTGCCCTCTGACTGCACAGCTGGCTTGAATGTGCTGTTGTGTCTGTACCACTCAGCTGGACCATTGAATCTCGTGTGACCCTTATCTGTCATCTTCTAGAAGTGAGTTGTAGCTCCCATACTCCCTTATCTGATACTGTTTTCTGCCATAAAATCTTAAAAATTGCTCAGGGCATCCTTGCTGCACAGTTTTTGACCAATAAGAACAGATAAGGAGAAGGGTGGATGAAGGCTTCACAAATGGGTCTTGTGGAAGGCAGACTGTGTGATTTTAGCCTTGTGTCTTGCTTGCCTTGTTGACATTTGTCAGTCTCTTCTCTATAAACCAAGTTTTCATGTCTTGGGGGCTAGTTAAAAATGCAGCAGCGCCCAAGAACAGGTAAGTGAGAGATGGTGCCTCAGGCAGACCTGGGAGTTTATGTCAGACCTCTGACATACTAGAGTCAAGTCTCTTCCATTTCATTACATATTTAGTTTTTTGAAATTAGTGTGGCAGATCAGATGTTTGTGACGCTCACCAGCTTTGCTCAGTTGACCTTAGTAACCCCTCAAAAGCTACATCAGAAGTGTAGAGGTTCTGTGACTCATGCTGCTTGCTTTAGATGGCACTTTTTGGTGGAGCCTTGTTTGGTCAAACAGGAGCACTGTTGATTTGCTTTGTAAGCACCCGGCTGCTGCTTGTTTTTGGGGCAGGAATAGAAACAGAGACTGGCGACGGTCAGCATTGCAACACAGACGTGCTTGACCAAGTGGTAGTGGGTATGTTCTCTTTTATGGGCTGACTAGCATGGGGAACTGCATGCCTTTGTCCTGCCACCAGCCACACACCTTGTGTCACAGCGGTTCTTGTGGGAGGGCTGTTTTATGTGTTTGAAATCTGTGGATTCAGACCCCTACCTTTTTGGAGGTAAAAGTACCTGTGTCAGAGAAGTATCTCAGTGTTTTCAGGTTGCAAAACATTGGGTTTGAACATTTGAATGCTGGCAGGTTTTGTCTGTGGTTCTGTATGTTTATGAAAATATTTAAATTTGGTTAGTGGAAGTTGTCCTTTGAAGAACAGAAGCTGATTCAGTCAGTTATGCTTTCCAGAAAGTACGCCTCAGATGTGAAAGTATAAACCTTGCATACATAAAAGACAAGCAGTGTTGTTGCTTTGCTACTGAATCTTCCACCTCTGGGGTGCAAGCTGCATGCTGCCTACCTCTTGTTTGAGGAGATGGTGTGTCTCAGTGATAGGTCCTCTACGAAAAATCACAGATGGGCTTTGTAAGAGATTGAAATCTCTTGGATTCAGGGACATTTATATCCAGTTGTTTGGTGTTTTTTTGTTTGTTTGTGGGTTTTTGTTTGTTTGTGTGTTTTTTATTTTTTTTTTTCCCCTGCTGTGACTGAACAGAACCAGAGAGTATTGGCTCTATTAAGACTTGTTGTGTTAAGGCCCAGAAGCACTATGCTGTTTGAACTCCCATGAGCTGGCAGCTCTGGTTGTTACTTTTCAACCAGTACGTGTGCCATCAGAAAAGGAAATTTGGAAGATGGCTCAAATAATGTCTTTTGGCTTTTAACTGTAGTAGAGTCTGCCTGATACAGACTTGAGAGCTGGTGTTGTGAAAGGGGTCTTAATGAAAGCACAATGTGAAGAAGTGCTAAACCTTGCAGCAATTGGGAATAGAACTGGAAGAGGGAATGTGCTAAATGAATTGCAGAGATGTGACTGGCATCCTGGTGCACTGCAGGTTTTTCCCTGAAGTGTAGTATCAGTGCCTGCTGACAGTGAGGTGGAGGATGGAGCACTGCAGCTCAGCCTCTGCCTCTTCCATGGGAACTGTTCACTCTAGGTCTCCACTTTCCTAAGATGTTGCCTTTTGGCTAATGTAGACTGGTGAAAATAATAAAAATAGAAGTGATCCATAACTGAAAGTACTAATCCTAATGTATAATCATAATCATACAGGAACTTAAATTATTTATCACCAGAAATATAAAACCTAAACCCACAGATTACGAAGGATTTGCAGAAGATGTCATCTGTTTAATGCTATCTTTTAATACTTCAGCAAACTAGTTTTGAAATATTTTTTGCAAGGCATTTAGTTAACTTGTGAGTGATTGCTAAACAGGAAAACTGCGCTTAATGCAATACTGGCATGGGAGTTTACTAAAGGGGATGTTGACATAGATTAAATATTAAAAAAACTATTTCCTATTATTCTAATAAAAATATCCTTCTCTTTGTATTAAAAGTTCAAATATTTTCTAATTTTAGGGAGTTACTTTTTTTGGTGTCACCCTGTAGTCTTAAGGAAGTTTATTATCTTTGTCATCTTGTTTATATTTTGGTGAGGCAACTGAGCTTTTGAACAGTAGTTTTTATTTCTTGGTTACAATCACATCAGGTAGCCCCAGGATGTGGGTGTGCTGAGACATATCTCTCCATTTCCTCTGATCCTACTCTTGTCTTCTATTCCCCACAAATGATAACCATGATCTCCTGCCTCTATGAATGTGCATCCCAAGCTTCCCACAGGTGGGTGTGCTCCCCTGAGCTTTTCCATCTGCAAGCCTTCTGGAAGCCATGCTGCTAGATTTTTTTTTTCTTTTTTTCCCAAATGTTGGCTTAGGAGAGCATGCCAAATGTCAGGGTATCAAACTTTGTGTGCCACGTGACTTTGCAAAGGAGGAAATGGGAATTCTCTCTTGACAGCTAAGAGAGAAACTGGGATGTGAGTGGATGTGCTGACCTCTGTCCATGAGGATGTGATTTAGATTTGGGATCGTTTGAGGGACCAGATGAGCTAAGTGAGAAAATGAAAAGGGGTTGGAGTGGTGCTTGCCACCATTCCCAGGAGTCAGGGGATATCAATAATCTATTTTTCTTGGGCAGA